GCTCGTATAGGAGCACATATGAAGCCGGGGTTAATTCAATGTGTGGGCTCAATGCCGGCCCTAATGTTATATTAAATATATTTTATAGGAAGAGGTTATGAATAAATGTGTGAATACTGTAAATATCAATAGGAATAATGATAAATAAAATGTGGCATTGTTTGGTCTCTAAAGTATTAGTGCTTTAAGAATATGTTTTCAACATAACATGTATTTTAGTTACCGTAATATCTAAACATTATATTTAATGCTCAAACACCAGAATCATTTGCTCACTTTATTCAAAATTGTATTTATTGTCAATTATCGTAAAAACTTATTCTAAACCAAAACTAAAAATTATGGTATCAAATGGTATAATACGATTAAATAAATAGTTTTGCTGTGATAAATTTTTAAATAAACCATTTTGATACAGTATAGTTACACTTTATTAGAATTTAGGACATATGTTTCAAAATATATTTTTAATTTCTAACCTTTTTAAAAATGTTTAAATAATGTTTCAATTTTTGTTTAATATTTGCATTTTAACGCTTAATTAATTATGGTATTTAATGTAGAATGTAATAAAATCTAGTACTGTATAGTATACCGGCCAAAATTCAGAGATACGGGTGAATAATAAATATAGTTTCAAATGTAAACATAAGAATGATCTAAACTTTAAATAATGTATGCTTTGACTGGTATTTTCACATACAGTATTTATGTTTAATAAATTTCACTATAGTCTATTGTTATATAAATGATTTGGGAATATTTAATATTTTTATAAATTCAGATCACTGATCATTAAAGTAAGATTATTTATAAAACAAAGCAATACTCTGTAGACAGCATCAAATGTTTATAAAAATAATAATGCCTAAAATTAAATATTTGCTAAAACATTATGAGAAAGTTGTTTGTACAAATCAATGAATATTTTATATATAAAATTTGACTTTGTGTCAAATAATTACATATATGTTTTTAATTTGAAAATAACTTCTATTTTAATTATTATGATCAGAATTAAATAAATAAAGATGTCAAAGTTTCACAATGAGATTTTATTGTTCAAAACAGTACACATTTTAAACTTATATTATTCTTATAATTAATAATAATATTAATAATATTATTACTGTAATAATAAATGAGAATATAAGTAATAATGCAGTAAATAATAAGTTAGTAAACAGAATACTATTAGTACTCGTATTCCGAGATGAATACCATAGTCGTTGCAATATTTCTGCCAATTTGAAGACCATTTTTATACATTTTGGCCTCAATTTCTAACTCAATATCCTGTGGGCCCTCCAATGGGTTCAACATCGCTATCTTCACCTCATTATCTTTGGTTCGTTTCAGATAAAAGTCTTCTCTCGTGGCGGCCCTCACGTGAAGGTGCGGTGACTTCACAGACACCAGACGTAAACCAAATTCAGCGATAATTGGCGGCTCTATAGGCACTATGAATGTGAAGAACTCATGGGAACCGGACTCTGATTTGAGTAAAAACTTTGACCGGAAAGGTATGTATGCGTATGAGTAGCATATGATTTGGTTGACATCGCATTTAATGTGTGGGTCATCGCATATCTCCTGGTATACCAATCGGGCACTTATTTTGCACTGACTATCAATTCATAGAAACAATTAGATTTGCAAATAATTAGCAAAACATTAAATATTATAATCCTTACGCCCCATCCCTATGATATCCGTGGGGACACTCCGTTTGAATACATCTGAAACTTCCTCCTAAGTTAACACATGTCTGGTTATATCCGCGACAATAGCCATGTTCTTGACATTCATTAATATCTATAAATGGAAATAATAACAACTCATGAGTATTAGTATTAACTTGATTAGAGAGAAATGTGGGAAATGTGTGATTGAATGGAGTGCTAACCCACGCAGTGGTGATCGTATTGGAGTTTATATCCATGAGGACACGTGCAATGGTAAGAGCCCAATGTATTTTCGCAATGACCCTGACATAGTTGGGGTCGACCG